AATATTGGACTTTATAGTAATTAGTAATATACTGTAAGATTTGATTTCCGTTGATGTATCGCCACATTGGGGTGAACCATTTGCACAACATCCCCCCTCCCCCCAATATAAATAATAATATACACGCTTCATCAAAACATATTTCAAGTAATTTACGTTATTAAAGATGTTCGAGTTTAAACTATTATAAAAATATCGTACTTTTCAAATAATAAATTTAATGTACTAAGAAATGATACAGATAAAAAAACATGACACATTACACAAACGATAATTGCCATGACGTCCATAACCCATATTGTGTCCATACTGTGGACAGTATTATGATGATAAACATTTCGGAGTATTTTTTTATAATAATAATTATTATTCAGTTCAATATTTCATAAAGACCAAATTAAGCATGCCAATGATAGTGAAATCGTTTTTGGCACGATTGTAATTTGTAAATAGCACATCGGCGTTTTCACGCCAGTTCAATAACATTCGCATTTAAATACATAGGTACAGATAACAATATCAAACAAACAATATACTGACGAGTTTCTAAGAAAATATAATTAAAACTAGATAGGTGAGTATAATTGACCATATTTTATTTGGAACCAATTGTTTCGCACAATGTACTTTTATTTTCATAACGATTAGAATACAAATAATTAACGTAAGTACCTTCCTAAATAATAATTGCACATGCAACAATAAACAAATACCTTTAGAAGTCACACTAAATACATATTATTGTGGTGAGAATTATTGAGACCGTAATAATAGTTATAGGTATATTATTATATTAATGCTAATTAGAATATATTTTGGCATTATGTTTTATAATTGATGAATAATTAGGCACTTTGGTCGTGAAAGAAAGTGCATTTTTCAATGAATTCAAATGTCGAGAGATTTAGTACTTATTAAACAGTGTTGAATATAACTATGATTAAAATTGGAGCTTTAGTCCGATTGAGCTTGAGCATACATGTCATCAGTGTTGAGCCGAGATAAATATAATTTTATCTAGATAAAGATCTTAAGATAACTAAATTATTTATTTATAGATAAATTATGGAATAAATTTTTTTATATTTTCTTATGGCACTCCGTAAGCTCGTAGCAATATAGAATAACTTAATAGTATGTTATCAAAAATGTAGTTATTACTTATTAGTAAATACTAGGCAGTGGCGTGTATCATAAAAAAAAATTGGTGTTGCTCAAATAATTTTTTTTGACCTACCCCTCATATTACTGTTATACCGACCTATAAAATTTCCTATTTTTTTTCTATCAATACCCACCCACCCATTTTTAAGGTGTTGCCTGAGCAACACTTGGACCCCATGTTACACACCACTGATACTAGGTTAGGTTAGGTTAGTAATAAATTACTTAATTGTCTACCTATATTCTATATTAAATAAAAGCCGTTTAATAAATTAAATTATCTGGATAAATTCATCTAGATAACAGTGATTTTTATCTTAGATAACTGTGTAAATTAATATTTTCTATTTATCTAGATAAGCTTACCACTGCATATCCTAATAGGTTTTCATTATTATTATTTTAGTTTCTGAGGAACATTGAGTCACTGCTTAACTGTGGGTTATTTATTTGTTGCCATCAAATATTAATATTGATTTTTTATTTACTTGATATTTTTATATTGAGAGTATTATTATAATATAGTGTTACACCTTATAATAATACAATATTACTGACTATCGGTTTCAAAATGTCCTCTACTGAATACTATATTGTTATCTGTTTTTTTTTTTTTTTTTTTTTTTGTCTCATGGTTCAAATATATTCATTTTTGTTCATATGCCTATCTTCAATAATAAAAAATTACAGTTTATACACAAGTTGTAGTTTGTGTATTTCTAACTTATCACTAATAACATTTATTGTATCTGTATGCTCGTATATTATTATACAACATTTCAATAAGAACTATAAGAACTATCGCTGTACATTTTGCACTTGTCAAAATTCACGTCCAATGGGTTTATTAAAACAAATTTTGTATTATATAGATATTACCGTTTTAAATGATCTTTAATCTTTATATTTGAAAATAGATACAATGTAAATAGAGTGAAGGAAATATGTTTTTAAAAATTTGATTGATGTTTTTTTTTTTTTTTTTTTTTTTTTAATGGTCTAAAAATGTCTGAGCGAATACATATTTAATTCCGTTAATCAGATTTTTGATTTGTATACGCATACCTACTATGCATATGTAGAAACGTGAGCACATGACGTGTTTTTTCATTAAAGAGAAAACCTTATAATATAATGTAAAGGTAATAGGTCTGACGGCGTAGTGGTGTATTATAAATAATATAATATTATAATAATAATTCTCATATATGCAAGTACAATGAAATGTGTACACTTATCATGCTAATATTAGATATTATAGGGTTTTGCAAAATAATAGTGTTGGCGTATGAATGGCATACAAAATATTATAATGTAAATCCAGGTCGTGCAAATACAACCGACGAGGTGTTAAATAGACCAGAACTAAACCAAGAGAATCAAATATTTATATGCTGAAGCGATTCTATGATTATAATTTTTTTACTGTCGTTTTTCAATATTGAATAGGTCTGACGGATGATCAGAGAAATAGTGTATAAGTACAAACGTGTTTCATAAAAAAAAAGAAAAGAAAAGAAAATAACAAACACCCATAGAACCTCTTTATAGTTAGTTTATTAACTAGACAGTATCTAAATAATAATTAGTGTACATTATACATGAGATGTTAATAATATAATTAGTAAACACTTAATCTAATCTTTATGTTTGTGATAAGTTATACTTAATTTAATCATATTAATATTATCTAACACGAAAGGTTCGTCGGCGGGTCTCTGAGCTTCCTAATAAAGGTCTCATTTCAGTATTAACTGTATTGACTTTTTCATTTTTTCCACATAATCATATTAAAAATAAGAAAAAATACAATCATCAAAATTTATTATTCTGATATACAAAAATGAAAAAACTACAAGATAATTTTTTTCTACTAAACGTATGCCGTATTAATAGAAAATTGTCCTAACCATCTTATTCAGTTTTGTACACAAGTCAGCCGTGATAACTATTAATTATTGTTTATTTAAATATGTTGGGCACATGGCGTTTTAATTATCGTCGCAGAAAGCTATTCCGTAAAATATATGAATCACATATGTTATAGACAAATAAAAATTAAATACCTATGTTGAAACATATTTTATGTTGATTTTTAAATCTGTCTATAAAAGATTTTTCCTACTAACTATAAATACATATTAAATATATATTTTGTCTCAAAACATTATTTTAAAAGTACCTAGCTGCTTTAATCAACTTCTAATAATATAATAAATTATTAATTATAGTTTAATAGGCACAAATGTTTTATAATTCCAGTGATGCCACCGATATATTTTTGTAACTTGGGCATGAAGTACTCGAATTAATATTAAAACGTCATGCATTGAAAGAATCAGATTGTTGAACAAAATTTGATACGGTGCTGCAAGCAGAGAGCCCATAAATTTGTGTATCTAAATATAATATTGTGTGTTATCATGAGGCGTTAATGCGCGAAATTTAGTGTTGAATGTATTATTTAGTAGCACGTGTTTGAGTACTAACATACAATTATCCTTTCAAATTAAATTACCCAAACCTAAATTCTATAAAATACCATTAGAAACTAACTTATATCACTACCAATCATTTTATAATTTTATAATAATAAAATAAAATATATTTTAATTCAAGTATCATCGATATAAAAGCATTAAATAATCTGTAATACTAACCTGTTTATATAAATTTTATTTGGTATTCACTAATACAAGATTAATGTAAGAGAAATTGAGAACTTTTTCTTTGACTAAAATAAAATATAAAAATAAGCACTTTACATATTTGAGTTTCATTTTTATATATAAATAATAAATAATACTGATAGTTTTTTAAGAAATGTGGTGACCCATCAAACATTTTTCATAACCCAATCAATTTTAATCTTCTGTTCTAAATTTGTTTTATCATTAAAGTTGAACCTTAAGTTTGTGTTGATTTAACAAGTAAAAATAAAATATTATCAATACATTTAAAATGATTAACATTAAAACACTTGAAAACTAAAAGGTAATGTCTATTAGTATTTTTGGAAGTATACAGTTACAAATATATTGGCACCAATTTAATAATTACCTATTATTTAGTACAATTTAATTACGGAACAATATATAAAAACAATTATTTTCAATAGAAAACATTAAGTTTGGAAAGTAATTTCCATAATTGATATGGTATTTATTTTAACATTATCCCGTGAAAATATCTATCAAATTAGTATAATAATAATGACACATATTTTACACAATGGTGTTGGCATTCATTTTCGTTTATTTATTTACGTTTTACGTATATGATAATACTATTTTTAATATGTGGAAATTATTTAAGAACAAGAACAATTATTTTTTGTATGGTTTACCTAATCTATAACCGACACATATTATATTATAACATTTCGAATGTGAACATTGTTTGAATAAATTATTTATATAGGTAGGTAACTACTTAATGTTTATGTTTTTTGCATTTTCTTATTATATTCTATATTTAATTTTGTAAAATATAATAATGTTGATTAGGAACTTGCCATTATTTGAACACAACAATTTCTTCGAAATAATGTCATATAGTATTATAATAGTGGTTCATATTTTTCTAATGTTTAAAATACTTGTACAAGACCTAATATTTGCTATATTATGGCTTATTAAATAGATTTAGAATTTAAATCATTATGAATCCTATTTTTTTGTGTACAATGAGTGACGAGTCCCGATAACGTATACATATCCTTGCATCGTGTATAGATATAAATTGTAGAATAACAGTTACAAAATATAAAGTACTCGTATATTGGGTGTATGGCACGCATAATATAATATTATAAATACCATTTGCTCGGAGAACCATCAGTGGTGTCCCTTAAGACCCAAGCCGACCGCGAACAGTGCGAAAAAGAACCCAGCAAAACCAGTGGTGGCAACGATCAGCACCAGTCCACCCAACATCAGTGGCACGAGCGTGAAGAACTTGAGCTTGTACGCCAACAGCAGCGGCAACATGAACTTCTTCAGTTTCTTGAAGTCCTTCACCTTGAACGGCTTGTGCTTTTTTCCCTTCTTTTTCCGCCTGCGTTTCTTTTTGACGATCGCCGGCTTCTCGTCCCCGTAACCTGCGCAAAACCACAACAGTAATAAAGAAAAAGCCACAAAATATCCAATAATAATCGTAATAATAATATCCCTATGCAACGATAGAGGATGAATGCCGAAAGATGAAAACTGTAGTGGCTTTTGAATATTAGGTTTGGTGAAAAACGTATACACACGTTTATCTATGGCCGCAATCCACTGTGTTGCTTAGGAAATGACTAAGACGAATATTACTAATTATATACCACATTAGCCATTATACGATCCACACTCATAAGTACGTATTTTCATATCGTTGGCGTAACACTCGACCGCTAATCCGATTTTCTTTAGTAAGCAAACCGAAAATAAAACAGCTGGCCTATATTTTATACACACATATATTATATGTATATTATAATACTATATATAGGCAGGTAAGTAATAAGTACTTATAAATGCTCAAAGTGGTATCATAAGCGTGCCGACCTACGCGCGATCTATGCACATTGCAGTTTTATTCTACCACCTGCAGCACGAATGATGGCCGTAATTATTCGTCGCTTACGACGGCATTTTATTTATTTTTCTAATATTCACTGACAGCCAACATGCCACGTCATTGCAACGATGTCTTCCGGAAATTTAGTAAAACAGAATAATATATAGTCTTATATACCTACATTGTATAACTATACTCTAAATAAAAACGTTCGAATTCGCTTTGCGCCGCGCATTATGGAAGATGATTTTAGAAAGTAGATTCATCGTCGACTTGCTCGGGAGTCGAATCATCGTCGACTTACGAGTCGATTTATCATCCGTTTATTCGGCTATGCTGCTGCAGATGAGCACATCACTGTGTAAATATTATTACAATCACATTATAATTTCCGCCACTAAAACGTCGACCGATGTATGTAGTCCATAACTTCATAATTATAGCCATATAATTTGGTTTTCCGTTGCGCAGGCACAACCTAATCCGAGGGTAATGGGTCGGCTGTGTCAAACGAAAAGACAAACGATAATATTATTATAATTATTATATGGCCTCGTCCGAAGTGACGCATATTATAATATTGTTTTAAATTATTATTTTAAAAAAAGTCATACATTTTAAGTCCCCCACTCTTTAACGTCATTGCTGACCATTTCGTGGCAATTTGTAGTTATTAAGGGATGAAAAATCCTCGACATTATAACTAAAGCACCAACACGACTGCACGTTCGATGGTGGTCAACGCTTAACGATTTTCAGACCGGACGAGGCAATCAACCGCGGGTAATACTCATATTCCGGAAAAACACTTGCATCGATACGTGTTTTGTCTTCATATATAATAATATAAAATATATTAAACAAATATAATAAGCCATCGCTAAATGAACCATATTATATTAAACAAGCGGGTTTATCGAATCAGCACCGTGTCCAAGGTCGAAACCACAACACGATATCGTGCAGTTAACGAATAACGTACACATTTAATGGGTATAATATTGTTTTCTTTTAGCGACTATATACCAATAATGACGATTTGAATGGATTTCAAGCCGAGCTATTGAAAGTAAATACCGTCCAACGTTTTTTCGCATCAGATGCAATTTGTCGGATGAACGCCCCTCGATCAAGTCATCCATAAAGTCATATACACTCTGACTCGCTTTTGCACATAAAATATAATAACTATATTATGTCTATATATATACATATATATTATATATACACGACGATAACATGTAACATATAAAATGTTTATGGGTCCTCCAGTTTTTGTAAGTGAGTGTAGGCTTTTCGGGATGGTTTCTTCTCACTTTAGGCCTACCTTCGCCCGACCCAACAATAATCAAAACAATTAACCCTTTTTATACTCACTGTCGGAAGAGTCGATGTGTTGGACCTCGACGATCTCTTCGATCTCTTCCTCCTCACCCTTGTCCTCGTGATCGTCGTCGTCGTCCACATCGTATTCGTCTTCGTCGTCGTCATCGTCATCGTCGTCGTCGTCATCGTCGTCCTCGTACTGCCTGACCCGTTTGGAGGTCACCTCCTCTGTATTGACAGTCGGTCGGGCTGTAGACAGGCGGGGAGGTGGGAAGGTAATGGTGATCACCGGCCTGGTTGTGCTCAGCATCGGCTGATACCTGAACGGTATGTCCCTGCGGGCATCTTGCGTGCTGGTGGCGACCACGGACTTGGCAGTGGTCGTGGTCACGGACTTGATTGGCGGATGTGTCGACGGTAGTCGCGGAGGAGGGTGTGTAACGGATATCTGGGTCCATGACTTGCCCAGGGCCGTGGGAGCGATGGCTGTTGAAGCCAAGGGTGGGCCGACCCCAGGGGCTGGGGGGTCAGGGGCCCTCATGATTATGCCCGACGTCTCGGTGGTGTGGGGCGTCGACTGGCCTGCCGCGTGCTTCTGGACGACCAGCCCGAATTTGGACCAGACGCCCGTGGCCGTGGCGTCCGCTTCGGGTCGGACGGCCGCGGATCCGCCATCGAGAGCGGGCTGAACCCGATCGGCGGTGGTCAGCAGCAGCGCCAGCGCCAGCACGAGCGGTGACATCACAGCGGTCATTGTCGCGATCGGTCGGTCACGGCCTTTGGTGTCGCCTAGGCGTTTCGGACGACATGGTGGCGTTAATTTTTGCGCGAGAAGCGGACGAGAACGAATCGTCGGGCGGCGGTGATACACAGCAAGAGCGTTCCGACACCGGACTGGCCGACGTCTTCGGCGAGGACCGCCGCCGTCGGAAAATCGCTCTACCCCTCCCCATCAACGGTGGTGTCCCTCCACAAACCCGAAGATCGCCGCCGCCGTCGTCGTTTTGCCGGTCCAACGATTTACTGTGCCTCGATTGTTAGCGCCGTGGCGAGAAGACAAACACCACACGCTTTACACCACCTTCGCCGCCGCTGCCACCACCACAGTTATATATTATACACTGTCGTCCTTATAACGATAAACGACGATAATAATATATCTACTCTTCTCCGACGACGATAGTAATATGACCGTATTTTACCCGTGTCGTACCTGCTATAAAAATATGTGTGTCTGTATAATATTATATGTACAATACCAATACCTGGGTATATATTATGCCCTATACCTATATACACACACATTATTGCTTGCCGCGCGAAACCGTCCGATCGGTGTTAATAGCTATTTTCACGGTGCGCTCCACACTCGCACGCACGCAATCTGTTTATTATTATTAACATCATCATCGCCATCATTATCGACGACAGTTCCACGCTATGATAATACGGCGGACCGATCCAATTAAAAAAAAAAAAAAAAAAAAACGTCCAAACGAATGTAAAACCGAAAATAATTATTATTACCACACGAATACAATATTATTATTATTACTATTATAGTTGTAGGTTCAATATTTTTTTTCTGATATTTTTATTTGGGTCGAATCAATCGTTACGATTTTCATATTGTTCTCGTCCGACGATCTATTTTCTGTTCAACGCCGAAGGCTGTCTTATGAGAATTTTAATTGTCCAGGTGCCGTGTCGTCATCGTCTTGTGGAGCCGCGCACATCGTATCTATTAAATAGTCTATATGTGTATAGTACCTGCCTCTATATTAGATCTGATCGTCGCGACAGTCAAAACATCTTCAATAATAATATAAATTAAGTACCACATTCACTCCAAACCAGTCATTAAGATGTACGGAACAACAGGACAAACCGTAATACTGTTTGAGTCTGAAGTTCTATTTTACGCACTCACACCGCACACGGCGCTGTTAAAAAATATTCACCTAAATAAGTAGGTAATAGGCTCTAGAGCCTTTATGTTCTAAACAACCTCTTTAAATCCAAACTGTTACGACGTCAAGAAAAGAAAACGAACAACTATGCAAATAATCTACGTCAGACCTGTATGGAAATACGCGTGTTCCACATGGGCAATGACGAGTGGGCATGAGGAAAAATTACGTATATTTATAAGGAAAGTGCTTAGGAAAATGGTAAACGAAAATCGTAAATAAGGACTAATGAACAGCTATACCAGCTATGCAAAAAATAAGATGTGGTTAAATTCATTAGAGTTACTAGGATATAATGGAAATCCCATGTGTGGCAGGTTGATGGAATCTGATTGAAAAGTGACATCAAATTGATGAGGGGGGAAGGACAGCTTTAGCTAATGAGCTACTAGAAGAAGCTGGAGTGGATTAGAAATAGGTATATGATGGAAAATGATGGAAGGAAATAGCTTTGGTGACCAAGGTCTAAATGGCTCGTAAAGCCTAAGAAAAAAAATTGGTTATAACCAGGGCTTGCAAACGCTATAATAACGTTATATTTGACGTATAACTATTGAAATTTGCAAATGTAATTATAACGGAAAGCGATAATCAAAAATAATTAAATACCGCAAAACAAAGCATAATGAATAACAAAATATATAATATACAATTAAACAAAAAGTTCTCAAAACGTAATTTATAGAATATCATTTAACGAAAAATATCGCAAAATGCTATTTATAGAATATCACTAAACGAAATATAACGCAAAACAAAATTTTTTGAAAATTTTAAATCCATTTATTTAAAAGTAAGGTATATTGGTTTCGTAGAAATATATTTTATTTCATGCTACTTATTTTTGTCTTAAAAAAAATCTAAGAATTGATTATTTTATATTCCGTATCCGGGACATTATCTACCCCCATTTTTTTGGAGTTATTGATAACTTTTAAATTGAATTGCCAATAGAAATACCTAGTATAATTATAATTATTACATTATTAATAATGATTAATGATGCCCTGACAGTGCCGGATACAGGGCTTAATTTTGGGAGGGGCATGAGGGGGGGGGGGCAAAAGTACAAAAAGTTCCAAAATTGGCTAAACACAGTGTAAAACAAAGGAAAACTACAGTTATTGGGGGGGCAAATGTCCTTTTGCCCTCCCCCTGGATCCCCCACTGTGCCCCGATAATTGAGCTGTAGAAGTAGGTAGTATAGACTTATTTTGTATTCACTCCGTACTTTGTCTACTCTGTAGTCTGTACTACTGAGGTCTTCTCGTGAGTGTTAAAGTATATATATTATAATATACTATTATTAAAACATGTGTTTTATTTATATTAGCTACATATTAAAACAAACAACGCAATTATGGGTAGAACAATTTCTAGCCCAGTACTGAAAATGTAAAGGTGGGCATTAACTTGTTAAAAAGTTAATTATTTTTGTTTTTAGCTTATTAACTTATTCAGTTAAAATTTCCAAAGTAATTATATAAAACACCTAGGTGTTAGGTATATAGAATACCATTTATATCAATATTAAATATTAACAAAATAATAAATTATAATTTTCTGGTAACGATGTTGAAAAAAATTAAGTAGTAAATTACTTAATGGACTGTTGGAAAATGTTTTGTAAAATAAAGTTTTAATTCTGAATAACGATAAACTCAAAAATTGTGAAACTTTTTAATTGTAAATATCGTAAAACGGAATTTTTTTTTCAAATGCAAGTTATAACCGCATAATATTTCTATTGGGTTATGTAAACCGATTTCTATATGATTTCAATAAATTGAGAGACAAAGTCACGTCCTATTCTTCATTATTCGAAGCTTTTTGTTATTACTAGCATTCGAGGAATGTATTTTAATAATCATAGTAATTATTATGATACATATAGGCATATAGGTATAATTGAAAAAAGATTTTTATTAGTCTTGGTAATGTTTATCAAACCAAACATAGTATACAAAATATATACAATCATGTAGGTAGTTATTAATTCCCTATAAAGTCCGAAAAAAGAGATGTTCTTCACAAATTATTTACCTTGGATCGTTAACATATATTTCACACAGATGATTTAAAACTAAAAGTAAATATTTTACCAGATGTAATATTACATTTTAGTCACACGAAAGAAATAAACAAACTGAACTACTACAGACTGCAATAAACCATCGATGTAAACAAATTTAAAATAGTAATGTTACCGTTTCCTACAGTTTATTAAAAGTGTTCACATCTTTTGGGTTTTTATAACAAAGACGTGGTAATAAACCCGTAATGATTATAAATGTTTAATTGTGTGTGCCTACGTTATATTTTATTTTGATTACGTACCATGGTAGAACGATTATTATACAATATTCAAGACTAATGACTATGCCTGCATGTTAATAGTAATATAGTATACTGTTATAAAAATTAAAATAATTAATTGACAAGGAATACGACATTGCAGACGTATATATCGCTACACAGATGAAAAGTTGAATGTACTGAGAGACAATAAAAACTGAACATTTTGTTGTTTTGTTATTACTGTGATTTAAATATTCAAATAATAATAACATTGTAAATAATTATTATAATGTAATCAAACGTGTCGTGTAATGGCCCATTTATAAATAGTAAACATAATATATTGTTATGTTTAAAACCTTTTCAGCTACCTAAAATTAATAAATTCTTTTTTTAAATAATTTTAAAAAATAATTTAGTTTATAGTGTTTTAAGATATCAAATCAAAAATGTACATCAAATTAAGTATTGTAAATTATGCATAATTTCTTACGTAGGTACCTGATCTAAATTACGTGTTTTGGCTATACCCAAACTATCCGTTTTTTAATTATTGAATTGTAAAATGTTATATTATAATGTCATATTATATTATTAAACAGAGAAGACACAAAATAAAATAAAAAATAAAAAATAAATAAATAAAATTTTAAGAAAAACAATTCAATTTAAAAAACATTGAAAATATAACAGTTAAAAAATAATATACCTGATCAAATAACGTTAATATTTAAAAATTTTATTTGCGTTTTTGTTTAACTTGCTCTCAAAACATTTGTTTTGTATTTTAAATTTATAAATACAATAATTCAACAAATCTAAAATGTGTTCAAAATTATTAAATCTGGCCCAAATCCTAAATATGTGTGACAACATTGTTCATGAAAACGAATACTGTATCATAATATAATAATATTGACATGTGTAAGATTAAAATAATATCACTCGATTCGACCGATGAGAATTTTACTCAAATACGATATTAATTTTATATCAACAATGCTGTTGCAAATTATATAGACTAATATAATGGCTATAGAGAAACAGATTTTTTACAAAAATTTTAATTTAAAAAATAAAAATATTTTCAGTAAATCGCTTATGGAATTTATCAGGTTATAACCGATTTTACCTATGTATCGTGTACTCGTATAGGAAATAATGATATATTAATATATAAATATATATAAAATATGTATATTGTATATTATATCAACATTCCGTTGGTATAATGAAATAACGTGGATCCAATAGGTAGTATTTGGATAAAAAAAAAATTGTTCGAAAATCTCTGATCTGATCGAAACGCAAGAACGGGCACACTATTAGGTATGCATTGGACAAGTGGAGAAGAAAAGATGCTGATAACAATAATATAAATAATAATACTATAATGTCACAGCTCGGTGTTTGTACCGAGCAAAAATCTACTTATTTATGTGTTATATCATTATTTATTGATGGAAACTGTGTCCTGTGTATGTGTCACCTATGCGAATACTGACGACATATTATAATACAATAAAAATATTATATTGTACCTTAACGGTTAATGTAATTTATCCAACCCAAATATAATAATATTATTATGAAGAAAACCAGAAACCGTAACGTTTTTATATTGTATTTTATAATATTGTACATAAAAGTTTGTATGGGAAATAATATTTACAGGGCTTGAATTATTATTATTATAAATATTGTCGTATTGGCTTGTATTATAATTTTCGATAGGCACACTGAAAATATACTGAAAAATCAAACGTGAATAAC